CGTTAATAAATTATATATTTGCTTTTAACGTTTTTATATTAATATTATTAAATTTTATTTGTATTTACTAAAGAGTATATACAGTATTTTACATATACAGTATATATATAATATATTAATTATATAATTTAATGTGGAATTTTTTATATTTGTCATGTTATTTATTTTTTTTATTAAAAGATTTATATAAATAGCCAAATTAGTGACAATACTTATATAATTATATTAAAAGTAAATTATTTATTATTATTATTTTTAAAAGAAATATTACAATATCATAATATAAAGTATAAGTTCAAATATTCAAAGATATTTTATTATTATAAACAGTATATATATAAACTATATTTTGGCATTAAATTAAAATGTCAAATGATTTGTTATTAGTGAACAAAAATATATTTTACAAAATATTACAGTCATTATTTTATAAGATTGTATTGCATTTGTTATATTATATTATATTTTGTACTGCATTAATAAAGTATTATAAAATAATTTATTATATAGTATATTGTAATTTTTTCATCTATTTAAAATGATAAATTTAAATGGCGAAAAATTATCGATTGTCTCAAATAATGTATAATTAAGTCATTTTATAATAACTTTTTAGTTTAACTAATTTAAGTTATATACCTGTATATATTATAATATTTTTAATATTATAGGTACCACCATATTTTATTTATAATTCAAGTAACACTGACAAAGTGTTTGGCTATGAGATGAAAATGTTACTTACGTTACAAAAAGCATTAAACTTTACATATGAAATATATGATTGTAATATGAATTTTACAAAACTTTTCAACAAATTATGTAATAAGGTATGAATATATTAAACTAAATGATTTATGTTATTTGAATGAAACTATKTAAATATGATATAATACATTATACTGTAGTATAAATTACTGTTTTATTTTTTTTAAAAAATCTATTACAGTATTTATTTAATAAATAATAGGATGCTGATTTTGGTATATCTGATTTATATATAAGTGAGACTCGCTTTGATAAAGTCACATACACTCAGCCCTACATCATAGATGTGGTTACATTTACAACTCCCTTACCTTATATTAGACCAAATATACCGTCACTATTAGAACCGTTTGATTATATAATTTGGATTTTACTGTTTATTAATATTTTTGCTATTAAATACATTACTTCATTGATTATTCATAATAAAGTATCTACATTTTGGTCAATGATATCGATATTATTCAGACAACAAAATGTTGAAATATTTAATTATAATCCAAGATTAAAAATTATTATAAGCGTTTGGCAATTAGCAGGTGTGGTGCTAACCATTAGCTATAGTGGATGTGTTTATTCACAAATGACACATCCATTTGAATCCAAACATATCGACAATCTCTATGATTTAGGTCTTGAACTTAATAATAACAAAATACATGTATTGGCTCAGAAAGATGATATACATTATTTCATGATAAAAGTAATATTATAACAACCATTATTATAATTATATATTAACTTATTTAAATCAAATATACAGTATATATAAGTTTATCAATATATATAATATTTTCTAGAACTCGACCCTGGACATTTATAAACAAATATCCAACAAAATAATACCAGTAAATAATAGGATTGAATCTTTAAATTTGCTTAAAGACACAAATAATAAATATGCTTACATACAGACCAATGAATTTTTATTTTATTCAATGATAAGACTAAATATTACTGGATATCGATTACCCGATCGGACGCAATGGGGCTCAACGTTTGCATTGAATTTTGCGGCAATAGCTATGAGTAAAGAGTTTCCATACAAAAAGGAGTTTAATTTTATGTATAAATATTATTATTATTATTATTATTTAATTAATATAAATATTAATTTGTTTTCAATAATGTAGTATATCTCACATAATAAATAGTGGTTCACTGCAACACTGGCGTAGAAAATTTTATCTTGATAATTTTAGACATGAACATGATAAATTTATATTTGACAATACTTTTACAATAACTGAACATTTTGCTATTAATTTCAAACAACTTCAAAGTATATTTTATGTATTAATTTCTGGTAATTTTATTTCAATTTTAATATTAATAATTGAATATAATTACTTAAATTTACTTAATAATCATATTATAAAGTTTTTAATTAATTTATATAAAAGATTAAATAATTTAGTAAATGCATAAATTGTTCACATTCAGTTTAATTATAATAGAAATAAATTTAAATATCATAATATCATAATATCATAATATAATATATTGTTATAATATGTTATATTTATAATTAATAATTAACTTTAAAAATCTTATTCCAATTGTTATTATAGTTGTAATAATTAATTTACACAAATATCCATTTTATATGTAGTTATTAAATATATCATAATATTAAAATATCACTATTTGTTTAGTTTTAAGTATTTTGTTTTTTATAATATAATAATTGTTAATAAATAAAACAATTTAACATTTAAGCTATTTATAAAAACTAACTATAGTTGCCATCGGTTTTAATGTTTGCCATTCAATGTGCAAATACACCGACAGTGCCATCGATTACAATAACACCAACAGAATGCCAATAAAGCAATGAATGCAATCATAGCAATGATTGTTATATCAAACCAATTCAAACACTGCCAAAAGCCATAGTGTTTGCATATATCTCGATCATAGCTATGAATAGTTGCATTCAAATATTGGTCGACCATTTCGTTAGCACCGGTAGTGCAGTTGTTTTCGGCTATTAGAGTAACACAATCTGATAGCATCTGAAAGGCCGCACATTTGACACACGGATATGTTGTTTCATTATACTGTCCACCGATAGCTGTGTAGTAATCTTGAAGACATTTGTCGGAAAACAATTCGCTAATATTTGTGATACAGTTAGTCATAAAATCAGAGTTTATGTATTGTTCTGTTGTCCACACATTTCCTATGGATAAAACTGATGACAACAAAATCAAAACTAATGATTTGAGTTTCATATTTCAAAGTAAATTAATTTGGTTTCATTCACTAAACAATTATAAAAATAAAGTAATTTTAAGTATTTTCAATAAAAAGTTTAAACATTTAGTTATATGAAATTATAACATATAAAAGTGTAGTTTCAGATAATAACTACACTTTAATTCTTTCCAAATAAAATATATATAAACTTTAAGTATATTACTGTAAATCTACTAATGATTTTTCAAAAATTGTTTAAACAACTCACAATAATATATTTATAATGTAATCATGGGGTCATTGGGACTTTATTTTTAGCAAAATTTACATTTTTATCATTATTAGTAGCTTTAACACTAATAACGTAGTTTTAAAAATAATTTTTCTCTTTTTTTAGATAAATTTTTAATCATTTAATTTAATCAAAATTTATAAAAACTACAGAAATTAAAAAAAACTTTTATTTACATTATAATAAATTATATCATTTATAATCATAGTGGGAATTTTATTGATAAATAATAATATTCAATTATAAATAAATGATATTAAACTCAATATAATAATCATAAGTTTACATAAAAAATTTTAAACATAAATATCATTTCTATTTTTGGTATAACAAAACTTAAAAAACAAATAAAATATGATACATATGATGACTACAAATACAATAACCGCAAATCCAATCACATAATAATGATTTGAATCACAACATGACATTAAGTCATATCCAATACAATCGCTGTCTTGAATATTGTCAACAGTGTTGAGAAACCTGTTCCTCACCAGTAATGACTGTCCACTACATGCTTTAGTGGACAACTTCATAGCACATGACTTAAGGTTTTGATAGGCACAACATAGCCTTTTTGAGATAACTCCCTGTCCAGGGATGACATCTAATTGATTGCCGAACTGAGAGAGACATACTTGACTCAGTTGATCACTAATTTTATTAAAACATTCATCAACTTTAGTGTTATTATGACAATTGATTGAATTGATTATTATATTAATAATTATTAAAATTGAAAAACAAAATAATTTCATTGTTCATTAAATCCCTTTAATACATACAGTAATTATATTTAACTTTTTTAATAATAATTTTATAGCTTGAAATTGCTTGTATATAAATATATAAAATTATAAAATTACAATATTTATAAAAAACCATATTTAAAAATTTTATTCTATGTTTTCATTAATGAAATATTATCTCAAAATATAAATTGTTTTACTGATAATTAAAAATGTGTTTATAAAATATAAATATATTAAATTTAATGAAATAGTATCTATAAAAGTTTTATGATAATATTAAACATTGCTATAATTTGTCTAATATTGAAATTAATATAAATGATATTATTTAATATTTAAAAAACAATATTGTATATATTAATAGTTGGCAATTAATATTTATAAAATTATATTAACAAATATTACCATTAATGAAATTATAATGTGATTTATAAATTAGTCCATTTTTGGATTTATTTTTTATTAAAAAACTATTTATATATTTATACGTTAATCCACTATAAAATTGTTATTAAAAATTAGATAATTTTTAATATTTAAATGACTATTATTATAGATTTCTAATTTATAATAACTTTATTATTGTACTTATTTTCAATAATAGAGTACACGAGTATCTCAACAATTTATGTAATATTATGCAATAGTAGCGGTTTTACCTCTATATTGTATTTTATTAATATTTTATTGATTTCATTATACAATACTACAATTATATTTTAATTGAATGTAAATATTTAATTTATTATCATCTATCTATTAAATATAACAAACTAATAAAATACATAAAATATTTAAAGATCATTTAATAAAAATTTCGATTTTAAGTAATAAAAGACTATGGAAATAATTAAATTTATTAGTATTTATTAAACACATTTAAATTTATTTTTATTTTATAGTATAAATGTGTGCAACAAAATTATATTAATATCAATTAATTGTTATAGTTATCATACAATTTATATAAAAATTTGTGTATAAAAAAGCAATAAATATTTTATGTCACATAAAAATATAAAAATATATTATTTATATATTATTTATAACTTCTATAACGTGCCCTGGTGAAATTTAATTTTATATATGTATGTCAATGTATTTTTGTGATACTAATTTAATAATAATCTGGTGATCAATGAAATTGGTGATAATGTTATTAATTTTTGGGGTGTTTTATGGTTTAAGGTTAAAAAGCTCGATCAGTAGGGGTCCGATCTCTCGGGGGTCGACCTCCAGATGATACCTAACGTTTTCCTCATTCAATGTATGCAACTCTTCCAATGTGTCCATTAATCTCAAGTATTTCTCTTTGGCCGCCGATTTTGTCCCGCATTTGATTTCCAGATAACGTTGCAATAAATACTTGTTTATCTGGTGTTCAAATCTGTTATAAATAATAACAAAATTATATATAAATACAAGTTTTCCAATAAAAACTATTATTTAAGTATAAAACTAGTAAAATATTGAATTAATATTAAAAACAGATAATAAACAACATTGAGAAAAATTTCCTAAAACTCAAAATATGTATAATAAACATACTATGCATATAATGAACTAATTTTACAATTATTATTATATTAGTAGTAGTATTCATCTGTGTATTACATTTATGGAATATTTTTCAAATGAGATATACTGTACTGTATTTGTCTTTAAAAAAATATAATATTTATTGTATAAACAGTTAATGAAAACATATTTTGGTATTTTAAAATAAATATTATTAAATATAACTTAAATTTGTATTAAAAAGAAAATTATCGCATATATTAAATACTTCTAATATATATGTATATATATATGTATATATATAATACCAAACTTATTAAGTGTGTCAACAATTATTGATTAGTAAATGTAACTTAACATTTGAAATTAATTAAATTAAATTTAAATAGATTAATAAATATAACTTACGCTATCATATCTTTATGTATAATATCGGGTCTTTTTGGATCAAACAATACTATTGTTGACAACTATTTTTTAAAAATCAATAATTTTAATATTATAACTTAATATTTATACTGTATATAGAAATAATAATAATAATACTAAACTAACCAAATTAAGAATATCAAGATCTGTATCCCATTCATGACCAATAAGTCTCATAAATCGTTTGTGTGCCTCATATATTGTCGGACGTTTAGGTTGTCTCATACCATCTAACTGTATATTTTTAATATCCTATTATTCAATAAAATAACAATAAAAATAATTAGTATTTTTCATAAAAAATAATTGATTTTATTTGCAAAAACATACATCACGTGCGCTCATGAATGGAAACGACCAAAACTCGCGCTCGAAGTTATAATTTTGAACGGACCGTAAAATTATTAGTTCAGTACACCCGGCCTTCATGAGGGCCAGTTGGTCGTGTTGGCACAGGTTCTTATAGCCGTTGATCTTTCTAATCATTTTAATCAATTGTTGGACCGCCTTATCTGTCAGTTTGACCGCATCCAAGTGCTGATTGTTTTCAGTTTGAATGACATCCGGATCCTTGATATCGGCGAATGCATCGCTTAACTCATTCATACGGTTTCGCTCTAAATCGTTGAGCACTCGATCGCTGTCTGATCTGTAAACGGGTATTAAATTACATATTGAATGTTTGGGTGGTTTGTCATCGCCGGTCATTTGTGTTGGACTACCCGAACGACTATTGTCACTACCGATGCCGTTGGATAAGTCATTCTCAATTTCAGACCGAAATATCTCTTCTAATTTGTTGAGACAAAAAAATTTATTGAAAAACTCCAGTTCCTCGACATTCATATTAGGTTTCGGTTTCGTTTCATTCGGCATATACTTGATTACTGAGGGACGGGAGTGGTTACTATTGGACGAGCCGTTACTGTTTTCTTCATTGTTGGCTAAATGACTGTAATAATTAAACAATGAACTTATCATTTAAGTTATTTACAATTAAAAGTTGTTTAAAACTTATAAAAAATAATAATTACTATAAAATATAATAATAATAATACAAATGAACAAATTAACTAATATTTAATTTATAGTATGATTTTGTCATTTTGCACCTAATTGTACTTAACTTTGCTATTATATCTGAGACAAACAAAAAAAAATTTAAATTATTTATAACTGCATTCAATTCAAAATGCACTGAAAATAATAATAATATCTTTAACATTGCTTTAATATAATTATAGATACTTAAATAATCAATAATTTATAATATTTATTAATAATAAAATTATTTTAACTATTATTAAATATTATTATTACTAATAATTAATTAGACACCCATAAGTTTATTCAGGTACAAAATAATACTAATTTGCATTTATACTATTAGCAGACTATATTAATTTATTATTAAAAAATAATTATTTATGCAACTTATGTGAAGAACAATTAAAAAAATAATAATTAATACTTATAATTACTATAGAAAGTTATATTACAAAACACTTTATATTAATTAAAAATATTATAATTAGTTTATATGCACTTAAATGAACCCAATATAAAGTATTTAATTTTTTCATAACATTATCAGAAGATTAATAAATCTACAATATAAATTATTATAGTATATTATATTAACTTAAATATTTTAATTAGACTAAAATTTATATATATATATATATATATATTAATATACCGGTAATATTAATTAATATTCATAATATAAATTTTTAATTGGTTAAATTGATTAATTAAATAGAAAATTATAGTTATGTACACAAATTATAAGCCCGTTTAGTGGAAGGTCAGAAATATAAAAAACTAATTGTAATTATTATGTAGAAATACTAAACTATWAATGACTACATACTGTATAATTTATATGTAATGTTATGTCATTTAAATATAACATCAATAATAATACCTATAGATATATATTATGTGCTAATATTAAATATATAATATCGTATTAAAAATAATTGTATTAACTAAACAATTATTTATAACAATGACTAATGATTATAAAATAAATATTATATTAAACTCTATTTAATTTTTAACTTAAGTCTGCAGTAATAGAAAGTTTACGCCATAGTATAAAATTGTATAAAATATAAGTTATAGTTTTCAAATAATATATAACATGCATATGATATAACATTAATTGATAAATTTTAAATTACCTTTTTATAGGATAAGAAAGCTGACTAATAACAGTATTATCACAATTATTTTGTCTAAAATTGTTCATAAAATGTTGAGAATCTCCCAAAATATGTTCTCTATTGTTGGTATTATTCATCAATATTTGTGACAAATAATGATGATTAATAGGATAAACAATATTTAAGGGATGAACACCAGTGTCGGTATTTATGCCATTGAATGTAGAACTTATAGACATTGCTAACGGATTGGTGGCAGTGGTAGTAATGGTGGTACTGGTGATGGTTGAGTCCACTGAATTACTGTCACTTAATTTGACTCGTTTTTGCTTATTTTCAGCGATTTTAAACTTAATTATACGCTTTTCTTCGTCAGTCAATATTAAATCCTAAAAGAAATTGGTATAAAATGATAACAATTAGTATTAAAATACTAATTAAATTCTTTAATATATTCATAGATATGTTTTAAAAATTGTGAGATTAAATTGTGCTAAAATCTTTGTATAAATGCTAATGTATTATATAATCATTGTCAATATTTTTTATTATACTCAACTTTTAATTTTTTATCATGTAATATGATATATCATTTCAAGCTATTGATAAATATTTAATTTTAAGTACATTCGTAACGATTAAAAACTAAATTTTAGTAACTTTTAGTATAAAAATTATTAATCATCAATAAATAATTTTGTTGTATACAATTTTATGTTTTAATTTTTACTAAAAATATTTATTTCTATATATAAATAATAAATATTTTTGTCATTAGCTTTATATTATTAAGTCATATTCCTATTTTATAAATATTAAATTATAAGTTATATTTTTTTTAAATTTGTAATATTTATTATGTGAAACATAAAAATATATTAAATTATATGTCAATAAATATGACATGAAATTATGAGCAATGAATGTACTATATATTTATTCAAACTTTTAATATATTGTAGTCAGCATTTAATACAACTATAGTGTAAATGTTTTTAGAAAAATGTTTTATGATATTGCACTACAACTGTATACTGTAATTGTAATTTATTATACACACAATAGATAGCGAAAATAATTCATTCATTTCATAATAATAGTAATAATTATTATTATAAAGTGAAAATAAAATATTAATATAAAATACTATTATTTATTTTTAAGTTGTATCAAACGCGCACAAGTTTATTGGTGTCTTATTATTATTATTATAAACATTAATATAATTGTGTGTAATGTTATGTATGTATGTATATGTATGTGTATGTGTGTGTATGTATGTATGTGTGTGTATGTATGTGTGTGTGTGTRTRTGTATGTGTGTGTATGTATGTGTGTGTATGTGTATGTATGTATGTGTGTGTATGTATGTGTATGTATGTGTATGTGTGTGTATGTATGTATGTATATATATTTATGTATGTATGTGTGTGTGTGTATGTATGTATGTGTATATATATGTGTATGTGTGTGTATGTATGTATGTATGTATATATATATTTATGTATGTATGTGTATGTGTTTGTATGTATGTATTTATGAGTACATCTGCACTGGACTTACTTTTTTCATTCCTGAGTCGAAACATTTCTGCAAACGACACTTTTGGCAGAACTTACGAGTAATTGAGTCTATCTTACAATTGCCACTAAAAGGACACTTGAATTCCTAATCAATTTATTTATAAAAAAATAACAATTAGTAAGTCATATGAGAGAACCGTTAGCTGATAAATATATGACATGACATCAATTATAACAACACTGTATCGTTGTTGTGGGAAAATTCAATATTTATTTTTCTACTATCATTACATATTTCTCTGTTTTTATAATTTTTGTCTCACTTTCCGTTTTGTATATCATGTGAACTATATCTCTAGTTTTATATATATATACTGTATATGATATACACTACAAATTTATATGATATAACGATTTTTATGTCTATAAAACCATTGATTTATTAATTATACTTTAGACCGAAACACTTGAGAACATTAGTACTTTTGTTAAGAATCTCTATAAAGTATTAATCATAAATTATCAATTGCTATCTCCCTGTCCTCTCCAAAACTATACCATTATTTAAATATAAAAATCTATAAATCTAAGATATCTATAAATCGCAAACCAAATTGCACCCACAATCAACACATTACTAATAATATAATCAAAAAAATATATATATATTTATTATTTAACATAATTTTACAAATACACCGCTAAAATAAATTAACTAAAAAATTATTGAAATAACACTTTAAGGTCATTTCAAAATATATACACAATATTCATACGTTAATAGTAAACATAAAGTATATACAAAGTCATGCTATGTGTAAAAACATTAATAACTAAATAACATTTTATGGATATTTTTATTTAAAAAAAATATGAAAACATAACAAACCTTTTTCCTCAATGCATTTCTCCTAAAAAATGCTTTACACGACTCGCATGCGATTACATTAAAATTATAGCCTAAATAATTAAATTAAATTTTATAAATTAATTATCATTGTTGTTGTTGTTGTTAATAATAATAATATCTAAGTCATTTCATCATTACAATTTGATAAAATATTTTATATGTGTAATATTTTTATAGTGATAACAAACTTACATAAAAAATTATTTATAGTATATTTAATGATGAATAAAAATATGTCTAATAAACATACCGTTTGCCCGATCGCCACAAACAACACATATCTTGATTGCATCCATAGTTTTACGTGAATTTGAACTTAACTTTTGACTTAACGCTGTTATGTTTGTCATATATATTGATTTATATTGAAGACATATATTATTTATTTGATGAAAATAGCTGCAACAAAATTATAATCATCAATTATATATTGTAAACAAAATTATATCTTAAAAATTATATAAACATAAAATAAGCAGGTCACTAATATTAATAAAAACAAAAACACTAGTCTAGATAATAATAATTATTATTCTAGTATTACCTACAGTATGTGTTATATAAAACGTATACAATTCCAAGTGTGTGATACTTATTAATAATATCACCCAAGCTGGTATGTATATATGGCACTGGTATGTATATGGCACTGGTAAATACCAGTTTTCAATGAACAAACACATAAAAGTTAATTAATAAACTTAAAAAATGTTTTTTTTATTATTTTTATTCACTTATTATGAAGTTTTAAAATTTTGTGGAGTTTTTTGTTGAGAAAAAAGTGATTGCAAAACACGTATACATAGAAAAATTGTTTGTACTTTAAAGTCACACTATTTTTACAATTATAGTAAGTACTGGTAGTTAGTATTGAATGTTTATATTACTAGGAGAGAGAGTTTAGGTGCATTTCGACTCAGAGATCGCAATGAAAAATCTAATTATAATCGTTTATTACATTATTTATTAGACATCTCATACACACAACATACCAGTGCCACCGACACCGCACTAACAATGATATTCATAGTACTGTATATATGCGCTAATAATGTATGTCTGTGCGCTGGTTAGCCCTTAAATGCTATGAAACAAACTTAATGACCTTGCTACAATACATACACACTATTGTATTAGTATGTAAATACTACATAACAACACACTATTAGTACATTTGCTTTATTAAATTGAGTACAGTTAGGATATAATATACCATAAAGTTTATATGTATTAAATTAATCAAACATTCAATGAATCGAATAATGAATATTATATTAGAAAATTAATAAATATAATTTAAACATAATTTTATATTTTAAAATTTAATTATTTTTTATTAATAATATATTATTAAATGAAATATTAAATTTTTTAAATATTCAATATTACTATTCTTAATATTATTCAGATATATAAATATTCTGATGGATTTGGTTTGAGTAAAAAATAATGTAATGTAAAAAATAAAAATAATAAAATAATTGACTAAAATAAAATATTTATTGTTTTCATGTATAATATGAACTATGGTTAACAAAATTGTCTAAACTAAACTGGAAATTCTAATTGGTCAATTTTTATTGTTTAAATAATGTTAACTTAGTTTATTATAATCATTGTTTAAATTATTGATAAATTTTATGGTATTTGGTATTTATTCTATTTATTCAATTTTTTCTATTTGTATAAATTATATAAACAATATAAATATTTTTCAAAACTTTCCAGGTTTATCATAATTCTATTTTGTCACAAAAATTATAAAAAATTAATTTTTAATACAAATGTTTATTAAACATTAATGTACTAACGAGTGATCGCAAATGTACCAAGATATTATATTATGATATTATTATAATATTATAACATAAGTGTGCACTGGGGTCGTGTAAAAAGCACCATGGTGTAGTAGTAGTAGTAGTAGTAGTAGTAGTAGTAGTAGTGGTAGTGATGGTGCTCTCATACAGTATTGTTTTGTGGTTAATTGATGTTGACGTACAATAAAATTGCACTAAAAGTGCATTTAGTACTTTATAAGGCAATATCTTAAAATCAGACTCCCGACTAATAATTTATATTTGATATCTAGTAAACCATATTTTATAGATTAAAATGACCAATGGCAAAGTTATAGACAATTTTATAATGAATATATTTAAACTTGTTCATGTTTTATTTATTTGTATGTTTGACCAAATAATTACACATTTTTACAAGCGGTTGTTGCAATTATTTGGTTAACCTTACAATTAAATTTTTAAAAAATCAAATACAAAAATGATACTGTATAAAATTGTATATTACATAACAATTGGTCATTTTTATATGTAAGATATGGTTTACTAGATATTCAAATAAATTATTAGTCGGGAGTCTTATGCGAGTCTGATATTAAGATAAAGCCCTTTATAATCATACAATTTTTTATAGACTTTAAGCAAAGATATTATTTTTAATATAAAATATGTAATTCAATATAATTTGTTTTATACATTTGATTAACAATTCAAATATAGTGTATCTGATAAAAAAGTATTGTTTTATAAAATACAAATACAATAGCTATTTATTTTTTTGCATCAAAGCATATATAGAACATACAGTACTATAAACTTTTGTTTTTAATTTAATAGAATAATAGTATTATAAATATACCACTATATTAAAAGTATAAATTATAATATATTTATCTAATGTATTGTATTGTATATACAGTACTATTTGACACTTTGTATAATAAAATTGATATTTTATAATAATTAACATCAAAATTCCCATTATATGATAAATTAAATATTTGATTTGTGTATATTTTTTCAATTTTAATACAGWACAGTAATACAACAGTTGACAGTGTTTCACTTATTAGTACACATCATAACTGTAAAAATTATTATATAATTTTCAAACAATTTTTTCAAAATTTGTTTAATGGATTCTATATATACAGGCTGACTCAACACATGTTATATTTTTAAAAATCGGTCTATTTTTATACTTTAATTTTTTAAAATTTACAATAAATGGGGTTAGGGATAGTTTAGATTTTATTTTTTATTGTTTTTAAAAATAATTGTATTACAAAATGGCTTTTATATTTATGTGTGTCACACAAACTTTCGAATTTTGAAATTCTGATTTCAAATTCTGTTAGATCATCGAAAATAAGGTATAGGGTATGAGCATTAAAATTTGGAAGAAATGGCGGCAAAWGTACAAAAAATTTTAGATAAAAATTCTAAAGTTTAGATTTGAATAAAGCATCAAAAGTAAGGTATAGGAATCAGAATTATAATTTTGATATCTCTTCAAGAATAGATAAAATGGCGGATAAATTAAAAAATGAGTTTTAGTTATTAAAATTTAAGTTAAACATCTATTTTATTATAAAATAGTGGATAAATCTTTATAAAAATTTAATTGCATCACCATATATATGATTTCAACATAAATATTGCATCACTATATTTCTATTGTTTCAATATAAATACTTTGTCATAAACATTGTAACAATTAATAATTTATTAATATGACTCATATGGACTAATGTTTATCAGGAATAATTATTTTGTTTATAATATGACAAAAACAAGTAATTTACGTAATATTTTTTTTTGATAATGCTTTCTAGCATTCTCAACTGGTTTAATTATAATTACCCAAAATATTTTAGTTTCTAAAAATTGATTTTAACAAAAATTATAAATAGAAATAATAATAATGTCTTTATATATTATATAAATGTAGTGTTTGTATTAAATATAATTTAAATATTTAAAAATGCCGTACAAAGCATTTTACATGAGATAGATTCGAACTCACAACCCTCCGGTCGAGAGAACGACTCCCTATATACATGAGATATTTAGATTAGTATTGATATAATAGTATTAATAATAATTGATAAATAATGAAATGTTGTAATGTATTTGTAGCTATAATTAATTATAATGTAGTTTTAACTTATAATATAAATATACTTTATGTTATTTTTTTATTTAATATATATCATGCACAATCATTAGAAAGTTATTAAGAAAATAAATTAGCCTAGGCCATTTAATTAAAATACGTCAATAAATGATTTCTCATTATTTGGTTGTTTGATTAATTGTCATATAGTGTATTGTCTATCAAATACATTATACATTTAAATAATAACATGTGCGTGAATTATTATTATTGTCTATAATTGTATTTAATATAAAATATAAAGTAAATACTGTATCTTATAGTTATAATACAAAGTACAATATAATTGTTTATTTTTAGAAATAGATATAAAGATAGAAATTGTTTTTATTTCTTACCTTATTTACCAAAAATTTTTCTATTGAAATAAATTCCAGTAAAACGTTTGCTATGTTTTTGACTGATTATTAGATAACAGCATTAATTGACTTCACTTATCGCAAATGTTTTTTAAAAATATTATATTTATAATGAAATGCACACTTAATATTAAAAATATTCAATTAAAAAAATATTAATCAATGTTAAAAAAAATAAATTCACAATGTATAATAGTTTATTATTTTTGTTAGTTTATCATAGCTAACAAAAAATTATCATTTATTTTTTCATACGTTCTTAAAACACGAGAATTAAGTAAATAAACTTTATTTATAAATATAAATATTAATTAATTTGTTTAATTAAAAATATTATAGTTTACTTCAATAAGTAAATGACAAATCATATAAACGATGATTGAACTTATAGGTATGATAAAAATAGCATAATTTAATATACAGTTAAGTAAAGTACAAATAATGTATATTTTTTATTTAAATTTATAAATGTATTAACAAATTGGTGTTTGAAAATACACTGATGTGTGTAAAGTGCTATTAGCACAACATTAAAACTTACTGCACTAGTAGTTGCACTGTTAGGTGGGATTCATTAGATAATATTTATTATAAAAATATATATATGACATTATTATTAGTTGTTGTATCAGCTCAGGGCGTTAGGCAAACAGTTTGCATTTAATGATAAAATCTCTCTCTCTTTCTCTCTCTCTCTCTTTCTCTCTCTCTCTCTTTCTCTCTCTCTCTCTCTCTCTCTCTCTCTCTCTCTCTCTCTCTCTCTCTCTCTCTCTCTCTCTCTCTCTCTCTCTCTCTCTCTCTCTCTCTCTTTCTGTAGTGACTTTATGTCTATGATGTTATAGTATACTACAATATATAACAGCAATAGATTTTAAATACAGTACATCAAATGATAAGATATGTTGAGTTCGCATTAATTTCATGTTAAATAACGATATGACAGCACATAACCCATACACTTAAGTACATTCAGTTTTCACACAATACATGATTGTGTTGATGTCAATAGTCAATAGTCAACCTATCGTTTATATGTATAACATAAGGATTAAACATGGTATTGGATTTTAGGGGGGGTATAGGGTGGGGTAAAATGAAAAAAATCTTAGAGGTGTACTAACTATTGTGTGTATGTTTTTTCATTTAAAATAATTCTGTTTTTAAAATACACAAAATTCGTAACAAAATTATTAAATTTTTCAGAATAATTAATTATTATTATCTTAATTTTAAACTAAAATAATATTCTAATTGTAATATAATTACTTTTTGAATAAATAAATCATTATCTCATTTTTAAGCTAGATATTTTTATTAAAATAATGTTACATTTAGATAAATATTAATTTAATAGTAATTATTTTTGTCTATTAATATTTAAACTACTAATTCTTAAATTTATAATAATTAGTTTATATTGACTAAAATTTTAAA